AACTAAAATGACCAAGTTTAAGTGGATAAAAGCGGATCAGAGGTCAGGACCTGCGCTGCCATGGTCTTCATGGTGGGCTCCAGATCCCTGAGCAGGTCGAAGCCTTGGTGGAAGAAGGTGAACTGAGCGTGGACGAAGGAGAACACCTGAGAACACAGATTGATGTGTTTATTCTGCTGTGAGATGTTCCATCATGCTAAATGTAGCTCCTCTGTTCACTGGTTCTGAGCCGTGCTGCATTTGTTTATTGATCCAGCAGGTTGGATTTTTGTCTTTTAGCTTTTTTAAAACGTTGAACTCGTCCTTTAAATGAGCAGAGATACAGGGAAGCGACTCACTGAGTTCAAGACGTCGATCCTCTGCTGCGTCTTGAAGGTGTTGAGCTGGAAGATGAAACAAGCACATTCAGCATCAGGTGTTCACAGGCGAGCTTCAGGCGACGTTCTGAGTCGTACCTGCAGACAGTAATCCAGGGCAAAGTGCTGGTAGCACTTGCGCGTGGCGAGCAGCAGGTGACTCGCTCGCTCGGCGTCGGCGGCTTTGTGTCGGGACACCTGAGCGCTCTTCACCGCCGCCGTCTCCAGGTCCTCCCCGATCCGCACGAACTCCCTCCTGGTCTCCACCAGCTGGGGCACGAACCTTGGAGACGCACACACGGTTACCGTTAGCAACGAAAGACCATTGGTGCAGACAGACAGCTGCCAGCCAATCAGATGGCCAGTTTCATTTAATGCACAGAGAGTTTAAAACAAGTTTCTAATCAGCAGAGACCAACAAATGTTTGTTGTAATATTACATCCGCAGCTGTATAATGAAACTAATTAAATCAATGGGACCAATTAAAATGGATTCTGATTCATTTACATAAAAATAAAATGAAACAGAAATCAATCTGAAATCAATTTAATTATCTATAAGCTGTAATTAAGCTGAAGTTTTGGGATTTTAGGAGCAAAAATGTGTTATCATTTATCAGATTAAATAACATATTTTACAAATTTAGAAAAACATTAAACATTAAGACTTTTATGAATTTAATTTTAGACTTTTTAAAATATTTTAATGGTAATTAAATGAATTTATTGCCTTTTTAAAGTTTAAAAACTGATCAAATAACCTTAGAAGTGTCTATTTTAGGTACGTTATTAGTGACATTAACAATAATAAAGCTTATTTTTTAAACTCTTTTTCAATTTAAAAACACAGATACAAGAATAAAACCTTAAGTATTATAAATCAGCTAAACAGGAATGAGATAAAACACTTTTTTAGTAGATTAAAACATGGACACACACAGTAAAAGCAGATCAACGGGGATAAATCATAAACTAGTTCCTAACAGAAGCTGGACTTCTGCAGAATGAACTCACTGTGTGCAGAGGTTCGTCAGCTGCTGGCCGATGGCTCTCTGCGTCTGATCGAACAACATCTGAGGACGAAACACACCAGACACTCTGAACAGTAATCATATTTCACGTTTGTTGTGTTGCTGCAGCTTCTCACAGACTCCGTTAATTACTGATCAGCCTCTGGGAGACGACGGAGGCAGCTGGTGGAGCTACTGGACAGATTTATCCATCTTCATGCTCTGGTTCTGCTTTTAGACAATCTGATCTCTTTAAAACCCTCCAAAATCAAATTAAAGGCGGTTCTGCATCATGTTACGGTGACGATAAACCACAGGGACACATCTCTGCATCACTGTTTCTGGGTTTAGCCTTCAGAACGTTGGCGTGATGCTGCCACCTGCAGGTCAAACTGGGAACTCCAGTCCTCCAGGTCGTGGTTGTTCTATCAGTTTAATCGTAGCAACTGGACCTGCTTGAGTTCCTTGAAGACGTTCCACCTCTCATCCAAGAAGCTTCAGCAGGTCTGACTGACTAGTTGTTTGTTCCAGATGCTGATATCCTGAAGGAGACATGAACACAGAAAAACAACCAAACCTCAGGTGTTAACGTCTCCTTCAGGAGATCTGCATCTGGAACTAACAACTAGTCAGTCAGAGCTGATGAAGCCTCTTGGATGAGAGGTGGAACGTCTTCAAGGAACTCAAGCAGTTGCTACGATTAAACTACGAGGACTTTCTATCTTCTGACTTTCTTTCTGAGGACCTTTTCACATGTAAACATCTAAACTCTCAGCCGATTTATTGTTTTCAGCTCCTGTGTTTGGTAAATGTGTTTTTATAACGTCAGTGTTTAAGCTGCAGTTTGAGTCTCAGTCACTATTTCATCCTTCCTCTACTGTCTGACACCAGAAACATCTGCAGATGAGAGCAGCTTCATCGTGAATTCAGCCGTTTATAATTGAAAAGCGGCGCAGGGTCGCTGCTCAGGACTCACGGTGTGGAAGCTGAGCATCTCCTGCAGACCCTGGTGGAACTGGTTCAGGCAGGTCTGAGGGGGAAGGAAACAGGAAGTCAGAGGGAAACGTTTCACAGGAAAATGACAAAACAGGACGCGACAGAGAGCTGTGAGGCTGCTGCAAGCCCTCAGACACTCGGGTGAAACACAAAGAGTCCAGATCCAGCACAAATAACGCTGCTGCTGAAGAACAAACTTGTAATTTAATAATAAACTAGAGTTTATTTGTGCATTTTACACATCAAAGCAATGAAATGCACGTTGCATGGAGCATTAAAACGTCCAAAAGTAAGAAAAAACTGTGTGAAAACATTTAAATTCAACGTGACACAAATAAAAGTAAAATATTACCACCACTATTAGCAATAACGCTGCTGTTGCTTTATTTATACCCAGAATTACAAGCAAGCTATTTAAAATAAAAGCAGTTTCATAATAAAGTAAAAAATATATATATGTACTTAGAATGTTTAAATCTGAAGAATTATTCCTGTTAGTCTTTGAGTGACAGTTCTGATGGTATCTCCTGTTTCACGTTTTAAATTAATCACTAATTAATCATTATAATTATTTAACTGAAGCTCGACTTTAAAAATCTTATCTCACAAATCAAATCAAAATATCCGTCAGAATAAAATCATAATTTGATATTTTCCCCAAAGCTGTTCATAAAAGATGGACGTGACGTCGCCTGTTGGTTTGAGGAAAACTTTTGAAACCGGGTGCGAAAAGCAAAAACGTTAATTTGCTTTAAAGTAAAAAAATAATTTACTAAACGAACATCATGTTGTGTTGAAGGAGACTTTGAACTACAGATTAGAACCACTAACTCTTTCGGAAAATGTTTACTGAGGTAGAAAATGACGTAGGAAGTAGGGTCAGCTTCTCATAGACTTGGATCCAGAGGAGTCGCCCCCTGCTGGCTGCCAGAGAGATCGCAGCTCTAAAGCTTTACTGTTCAAACCTGCATCCGTTAATCTCTTCTACGTGGTTAAATGTTACCGTGATAACGCCGTCCTTCTTGTGATACGCGGAGAGCTCGGCCAGGCCGCTCAGGAACAGCTGATTGGCTGCGTTGTATGTTTGCCCCGCCTCCACCATCTTCCCACACAGCTTCATCACCTGATTGGTCAGACACAGACAGTACAGATCACGAAATGTCCTCAAACATGTCCTGCAACAGCGACTGAGCTTACATGTGCACGACACAAATCGTCACGTTAACAGGATATTCTGAATTATGCATCATTATAACTGCAGCATTTTCCAGTTGAGACCTGTGAGATCAATCAATATTATTCAGGTTTCATAAGCATTTTTCTGACATTTATTCGGTGGATTTGTGTTAGAAATCAACAGCAGCAGACAGAGATTATCCAGCACGCCAGACTTTTATCTACAATAAAACAAAAGCCGAGTTAATCTGCAAAGAAGCTGAATAGTTACAGGATTGTTGATTTCAAAAACACCTTAAAAACTAGGATTTATATCAGCCTCTGTGTCTACGTGATGTTAAGCCTCATCGTTCTTACTAATAGTCTGGATGTTTTTAGAAAATTTCAGGACACAGAAGATGATTCCTGTCACAGATAGGATTTGGACAGAAGTTTGTGACACTAAGTTAGAGATGCAAACCAAGAAATAGGCGAATGAATGTTTATACAGTCATACTACTGCAGGAAAACCATAAAACATCTGAGGAATATTGGTGAAATATTTGTTTTTATCCATGTAAAAAGTTCAGCAGGATTATTGTCTATTTTTTAGGATGAGGGAAAAAATTAATATTTTCTTCATGTGCGCTCGCATGCAGAAAATATCCTGACTTGAAATGTTTCATTCAGCATCAAACGAGACACGTTGGTGACATGAATTTTGCGTATTCAGAATAATAACAGAAGATTAGCTCGCATGTAAACGTAGTCAGTGGGAGCTCAAGTCGTACTAGTTAGTGCTACTTTTATTTCTACAGTAGTAATAGGTGTAGTAGTATTTGTAGTAGTGGAGGTAGTATGAGTACAGTATGAGCAGTAACAGCAGCAGCAGTGTTACCAGGATCTGTACCTTGTCCAGTTGTGTCTCCAGCACAGAAACATCCGCCTCAAACTGATCCAGATTCAGCCTAAAACATGAATAAATAAAACATCATCAGGAACACAGACGGAGCAAATATCACATCGTCTTTTTCATATTTGGATTTAAAATCTTAAAAGTATCGCACTCATGTCTCCAAAATCATCTGAAAAATCTGTATTTTATTGCCTTTCATTGAAACAAAGCAGCTCAGGATGAATGTTCACAAAACCAAACGCAGTTTCCCTCCAGAACCACTTTATTTCTTTTCTTGCGTATCAAGTGGATCATTACACAGTTTGGTTGCTTAACTGCAATAACATTTGCAAGAGTGGAATTACTAATAAATAAATAGATGAGCAAACATTCAGCCTCGTAATGAAAACACACAGTTCCTCAGCCTGTATGTTGCTGTAGATGCTGCAGCGTATGTGGGATTTTCTTTAAAATTCATTTACATGTCATCGAAATTACCAAAAGGTGCAGAAAGTGCATCAATAAAATGAATTAAAACTGAGAATCCTGGTGGTATCTGGCTGCTTCACTTCATCTGAGACATGAGACTGACGGTGGAGCTGAATGGAAACACGCTTTGTTTTTTGTTGTTTTTTAGTGTTATTAGCATTTATACATTTGAACTGTTATCCTGAAAAGAGATTTCGCTCCACTGGACGTCCACTGCTTCCCTGAACAACTCTCTACCACAGAAACAGTTCCTGCTTCTACTGTCAACTACAAATAGCGTTAATACAAATATTAATTCAGCACTACTGCACATGCGCAGCCCGGAGATGCTCTACGTGTGCGTGTGCGTGTGAGTGGGTGTGTTCACCTGAACTCAGGTGAGTCTTTGATGCACTCCTCAAAGTCCAGCAGAGAGTCCATGACGGTCTGTGTCTGTGTGTCTGTCCGGCTGCTGATAAAGTTTATCAAAGCCTCTTCATCCTGGCTGTTAGCCCGTTAGCTTGCAGTTAGCCCGTTAGCCTCCAGTTAGCCTGTCACCGTTCAGCTAGCCTGCAGTTAGCCCGCTAGCTGTCATCTCCTGCCACATCAAACTCCGCACGCACGCACAAACCGGGAAAACGCACTTCAGCCTCCGTCCACGCGCCAAATCGATACTTTCACAGGCGCCGGATCGATGGGGAACCGTGCACGCGCTCCCGCCGGTCCCGCATGTCGGCTCGGTTCGGCTGAATCCGGGAATAAACGGAGTTTGCGGAGTTTTCCGACTAACAGCTGTGTCTCCGCATCCTGCTGTTGTTGTACTTGTTGCTAACCGACAGCTGAGGCAGCCGGCGGCGAGACAGCGACCCCCCGGCGACAGCGACCCCCGGCGGCCCGGAGTGGAACTACACCCACTCACTCTGTTCAATAATGAACTAAAGAAAAATGTCCACAGGTTCCCAAGATAAACTATTATTATCAGTGTTAATATTATTAACAATAATGACTTTTATTTAATACAACAGCTAGTCACTGTAGCTCAGACATGATGTCATTCATCATTGTTATAGTAAATAAGCTTTCAGATGTGATGAGATGTGCAGGATCTTCTGTTTGCCGAGAACTCAACAGTGCGTTTATGACGTTTTCTGATCTGTACAACATAATTATTAATATGTGGGAAACTTCAGCAACTAAAATTGAAACTGAATTACTTTAGATCTCAGAATTGTTTATTTTTTTCTATTCTTTTATTGTATTTAAATGTTCTTCCTTATTTTAACGTTTTATCTTTTTTAACGTTTTGTTTTTATAATTTCAACTCATATTTACATTTTATCGTCTCACTGTGATTCTGCTTTAGATAAATGTGTCAATAAAGCTGCGGGGTAAAAGTCAAACACGATTCAAAAGGAACGTAAAGAAAAAAGGCTTTTATTGGAAAATGGACGAGACGACGACGAGCAGAATTCAGATGATGATGATGACGATGATGACGATGATGAAGATGATGATGATGCGTACATTCAGTAACCAATAGAAACGAGGATCACAGTGACGTTGTCGGCGCAGCCTCGTCTCACCGCCTCGCCGGCCAACTGCTGGCAGGCGGCTTCCAACTTCAGCTCCTCCTCCGTCAGCTCTGGGTGCTGCTCCACGCTGCCGCCCTGCAGGCAGAGACGGGAATTATTACGCCCTTTACTTAAAATAAAATAAAATCATCTAAAATAAAACAAGAAGATAATATAAAATAAGCTAATAAGAGCTAAATTAAAATAAAATAATCTAAAATAAGATATTCTAAACTACGGTAATCAAAAATAATTTAAAAAACATTAAAATAAGATAAACCAGACAGGAAGCAGAGAGACACCTGGAGGACGCTGAGGACGAACTTTACAGCTTCATCGGCTGAAAACACTTTGAACAAACCGTCGCAGGCCAGAATGATGAACCTGCAGAGAGAAAGAAGAACGTCAGCAGCTGAAACCTAGATGAAAGAAACTCTGAATAAAATCTATATAAAATACAATATTTACAATATAAGTCCAATCTGTCTGTATCCACCGCAAAAAAAAAAAAACTTGTTTTCAGCAAATTTTCTGGGCAAATTCTGGACTGGATAAAAGCGACGGATATTCTTTCGTGAGCATGTTTGAAATCAAGCTTTTTAATTACCACATAGAGCTAAACTTAATGTTTTCTGTCATGCTAACAGCGAGGGAGGCTGTTCTGCTAACAACCAATCAGCTGTTCTTGCCTGTCGTTGGCTGTGAGCTGACACCTCCTCAGGTCCGGCGTTGAAATCACTCCGCAGCGTTTGTACTGACCGTCTCCGATGGAGCGCGACACCTCGAGGACGCCGAGCACCCGGCCGTCCCTGCAGGAGCCACAAACAGATGGGCGTTAGCGTTAGCCTAGCTGGGATCAGATCGACTACCAGATCGGACTGGTCCAGACCTGACGGTGCCTCCGGCCCTCTGGATCCTCATCCTCTCCTCATAGATGGTCGGGTTGTGTTCTTTACTCAACGCCAGAGTCACCGGCTTCCTCTGACCGTCTGCTGCCGCCGCCTCCATCCGACACAACACCGCCTGCAGACACACAGAGAAGTGGTTCTGAGTTTCCTGCACGGCTGCAACTAACAGCGAAGCAGCAGGATTTTAAAGTTTGGGAACTTGAACATATCATGTGAACTGCAGCTTTTCAGGAACCGAAAACGATGCTTAAAATTGTTAAATTTAATCAAAGTCTTAATATTCTGCACGTTGGTTTTAAGGATAAGGATCATTGTTTACATCTGCTCTGCGCATATTCTCCCATATTTTTGTGTCTCTGGCTGAAACATCGACGTGTTTAAACCCTCGTCCTGGTTCTAGTGACCAGATCAAAGCCAGCTCACCCTGCTGTCTCCCAGGTTGGCCACGTACACCATGTCGTCCACCACCAGCACACACGTGGCCGTGGATCCGTCCTTCCACGCCGGCTTCCTGTTCACACAAACATCGGTGGAAATGTTTCGCTGCAGCTCGACTCCGACGTTTATTTCACATGAGAAACATTCTGCTTGTTGAAGTCTTACTGGCTGGAAGCTTTCTTCAGGAATTCCTCGTCCGTCTGTCGGAAAGTGTCCAGGAGACACTTTTTAATCAGCTTGTCCATGTTTTCAGGGTCTCCTGAAACACAAGACTCAAACCATGAACCCTCTGAGATCTGAAAGGTTTAAAAGACGAGATCATTCTTCTTAAAGTCGCCTAAATAAAACCATTTATCAGCCAGACGATGTAAAACCCAAAATAAAAATTTGATTTTCCACTGTCCACCTGGAACTTGAACCTTTAAATCTGAATCTATAACTGTGACATTTCATCTACATCCCAACATCTAACTCGTTACTGACTCACCGGTGGGGAACTTTTTGGCCAGAGTGTGGTGAAGATGTTCGGCGGCGAACTGAGACGCTCGAGCTCCACCATGACCATCGAAGACGGCGAAGTACGAGACTCGAGACCTGCAGGAAACAAACAAACAAAAAAAAGATGATTCTCAACAAGCTGCAGTTCTGAGTCTGCAGGTTGTTCTGGTTTAGTCGTTTTGGACAAGTTCCAAGTCATTTAGAACATGTTTCAAGTCATATAGGACAAGCAACAAGTCACTTTATACAAGTTACAAGTCATTTAGGACACATTGGAGTCATTTTTGACAAGTTTCAGGTCACTTTAGACTATTTTCAAGTCATTTAGGACCTCCTGGAGTCATTTTGGATATTTTCAAGTCAATCTGGACCCGTTTCAAGTTAATTCAGACAAGTTTAAAGTCATTTTCGACACATTTCAAGTCATTCTGGACATTTTCAAGTCTTTTTGGACTGGTTTTTAGTCATGCTGAACTGGTTTTATTCATTCTGGACAAATTTTGAGAGACTTGAGACCTGCAGGACAGAAAGACACGACGTCCAACAAGCTGCAGCCCTCAGACGGATCTGAAGTGCTTCAGTTTACAGAGAAACGCTGCATCGTGGCTGATGTGTGATTCCCATTCTAATACAATAACTTTCTTACACGTGTCCCGGCAGCGTCGGCAGGCAGCTGCTCATGTCCGGCAGCATCACGTGAGCGTCCTGCATCTCCTCGCGCTCGCCTCGCCTCGCCGCCACGAAGCCTCTGAGCCTGGGGAGGCCTGCAGGACGACAAACAGCAGCTCTGTACACTGTCCTCTCTGCATGTCAGCTTTCCTTCTGCGCGGAGCTTTGATCAGAGGAAAAGAAGCAAACAAACATTGCGGTGGAACAGCTGAAAACCTTCTTTACAAACTTTCTTGATCTCCCCACACTCCTCCTCTCGCGCCGTTCTATCGGAGTGATGTTCTGCATCTTCTCGTTTCCGTTTTAATCCCTTCTCCTCCTCCTCCTCTTCTTCTTTGGTGTTCTGTGGTTGAGCTGTGAGCGCCGCAGAAACCGGAGCTGAAGAAGAACAGAATCAAACTATATTTTCAACAAACAAATAATGATCTTTAATACCTTTTTCACGCCACTGAAAAACAGCGATATGAGCAGAAATCCTAATCTGTCTAATCAATGAATGTGGACTTGACTCAGACAAGTTGACAGATAATCTCACTGCCAGTTTATAGATATGTAACGCCTACTTATAGTCTGTCATCAAATACAAAACCTGTCATAACTGCCATTGCTGCTTGTCACAGGCAAGAATCTAAATTTTACAAACATCTGAGAATTAAATTATGAGTTCTGTGGAGTTCAAAGCTTTTCCTAAGACCTGCAGAAAGCTTGTGAGAGTCGAAACCGAGATTATTTTGCACCTCTGCTGCTGTTCTGTGTCCCCTTATGGTGTTTTTGCCTCCTTCTGAGCTGGTTTTGCATCTTTTGTAGTGGTTTTGAGTCACTTTATGGTCATTTTGCATCTCTAAGACTGCCTTGAATCTGTTTGAAACTGTTTTAAATCACTTAATGGTTTTGTTGTATCTCTTTAAGTTGGTTTTGTGTCTCCTGGTGGTTGTTTTTCCATCTTTTGGGGGTGTTTTTGCAGCTTTCTGTGGCAGTGTTGTGTCTCTTTGAGGTCGTTTTCACCTCCTCGTGGCTGTTCAATATCCCCAAAAGGCCTTTTCGCCGCTCTCTGAGATGATTTTCCGTTATTTTTGGTGGTTATGTGACTTTTTGTGGCTGTTTTGAATCACCTGATGGTGTTGTTGCATCTCTTTAAAGTGGTCGTGCAGCCTCTGTGAAGGCTTTGAGTCTCTTGATTCTGAGCATTTCTTCAGTCATAACTGACATATTAATGACTTCATCGTAATGCAATTAAATATCATTGAAATCCTGTGTCGTTGCTGTTCTTGGTGATGCTGCAGATGTTGGAGATCTTCTTAATTCAATGCCATTTCTGCAGCCGCACCAGTGCTAACGTTTGTCCATTCAAAGTCTGCGCTCCTTAGCTCCGTTAGCATGATGACAGCCTTCACTGAGCTTCACCGACACCGCTCATTAGCACTGTCATTAGCCGTTAATTAACGTCCACTCACCGGAGGTCTGTGTCGGTTCCGGCAGGTCATCGAACAGGTCCATCCTGCTGAGTTAGCCCAACAAGCTAACCGCTACCGGAGCTAGCCGCACCTGCCTGAATGCTAACATAGACTGTGTGTGCGGATGCTAGCAGAGCGAGCTAACTGCTGCAGCAGCTCTTCAGGAGCCTTTTAGTGCCTCAGTGCTAAACTACACTCTGTATAAAAAGAGATGCTAACACGGTCAGCTAACGGGTTAAAATGAACGTTTCTTAAAACGGGTCAAAATACGCTAAAAGTCCGCAGCTGAGGATGTTCATTTAGTTCTAATGCAGAAGCTCGTTAGCTTAAAGTTAGCAACGACAGTTAAGACTGTTTCCGGTTACAGGTTTCAACACAAAAGACCCAACACAGTAAACGGAAGTGACGCAGTTAAAAAAATGAAAGAAGAAAAATTTATTATAATTGTACAAAATGAAAAAAATGTTCTTTTTAAAATGAAAATTAAGAGATAAAAACTCGGAACAAGTCAAAACAATGACTCACCACAATGAAATAATGACAAAAGTTCAAATTATGAGATAAAAAAAATTCTCTGATTAAAAAGTCGCAATTATCATAAAATGACATAAAATCAAGACAACGTGACAGACAAGGTTAAGATTTGATTTTTTAAAATCCGAAATATTGTACAACGTCAATCTTTGACTTACTATAATAAAATGATCACATAAAAATGTCTAATTATGACAAAATTATTGACAGAATTAAAAAATAACATTATTTTTTCACTATAAATTTTCCATTTAATGTCCTCTACAGTATCTGTAACCTGCACACTTCCTACATCAGACCTGTGTACACTTCATACTGCAACCTGATTGGCTCCCAACGAGATGTGATGTCATGACCTTTGCAGGTAGATCCAGGTAGCACAGAATAATAATAATTATTATTATTAATGTAACCATCATGAATATTGTTGTTGCTTATACTGTGGGGACCATTTTAAAGGTCAATTAATAGATTAAACCTGAAAACTGACATCTGTGAAGCTGCAACTACCTACTAGTATAGTTTTAATTAATAATTACTAGTTAATAATTGGTAATTATTTATTAAAAGCTGTTATTTAAAATAGACTGGCATAATAATGTTTTAATGAGCCTCTTTTGGTTCATTTTATTTGCAGTTTGAGACAAAAGACGAAGTTTTTAATCTGATGTGAGAAGTTTTTTTTTCTGCCCGTTATCCTGGCTGCTGGCCTCTGATTGGCTGCTCCGCTGCGCTGCTCGGCTCCTATTGGCTGCCGGCGGCGGAATATAAGCGCTGGCCGCTGCTTGTGGTCAGTGTGAGGATGCAGATGTGAGCTGCAGCTGTTTGATCGTCCGCCTCCTCTGCGACCCAACATGCGGTTCTCTCTGCTCCTCCTCTGGATCTTCAGCCTGCAGCCTCCGCACCCCGGACAGGGAGCCCTGCAGCCCGGCCTGCTCCGGCGGAGGGACCGGGACGGCGGGTGGAGGAGGCAGAACGGCGGCGGAGCGACGACCCCGCCGCGGCTGGAGGACAGTAAGCCGGCGGCGGTGAGGGGGAGCGGCCGGAGGAGAGCAGCTCCGAGCGGGTGAGGACTTTACCAACACCGTGATGAAAAGTTCTGGAGCTGTGACTTGAAACTAGTCTAGAATGACTTGAAACTTGTCCTAAATTACTCCAGTGTGTCTTAAATGACTTGAATCTAGCCTAAAGTAACTTGAAACTTGTCCCAAATGACTTGGAACTTGTATAAAATGTATAAAATGACTTGGAACTTCTCCTAAATGACTTGAATCTAGTCTAAAATGACTTGAAAATGGCATTACTGGTAACTTGTCTAAAGTGACTTGGAACTCATCCTAAAGGACTTGGAACTTGTCTAAAGGGACGAGATTAGTCTAAAGGGACTTGAAACTTAGTCTAAATTAATTGAAACTAGTCTGAAGTGACTTGGAACTCATTCTAAAAGACTTGGAACTTGCCTAAAATGACTCCAATGTGTCCTAAATGACTTGAAACTAGTCTAAAATGACTTGAAACTTGTCCTCAATGACTTGGAATTTGTGTAAAGTGACTTGGAACTTGTCCTAAATGATGTGAAACTAGTCAAAAGTAACTTGAAACTTGTATAAAATGACTTGAGACTTGTATAAAATGACTTGAAACTTATCCTAAATGACTTTAATCTAGTCTAAAATGACTTAAAACTGATCCTAAAGGACTTGGAACTTGTCAAAAATGACTCCAATATGTCCTAAATGACTTGAAACTAGTCTAAAGTGACTTGAAACTTGTCCTAAATGACTTGAAACTAGTTTAAATAGACTTGAAACTTGTCTAAAATGATTCAGATATGTCCTAAATGACTTGGAATGTGTCTAAATTGACTTGAGACGAGTGTAAAATGACTTGAAAGTAGCCTAAAGGAACTTAAAACTTGTCCTAAGTGACTTGAAACGTGTCCTCTGCCCGTGTAGTTACAATCAGAGTGTTTTATTGGAGTCCAGGTCAGCTCCATGTTCAGTTTGCTGTCAGAGGAGATGAAGCAGAGCCTCAAACAGCAGATATAAGAGCAGCGTCTGGTTCAGTGAACAACGTGTAACAGAGAAACCGATGGCTGGTGAAGTCATCGGTGACTTTTGTTGTGAGTTTGCTTCAGTTTGAAGTTATTTTGTGTTCAAGTTTTCCTCTCTGGAGGTGGTTTTGTGTCTCTTTGTGGGTGTTTTAAGATGTTTGTGGTGTTTTTGTGGTTGTGTAGTATGTTTGTGGTTATTTTGTGTGTTTCTGAGGCGGCTGTGTGTCTGTTTTGGGTCGTTTTGCATCACTGTGTGGTGGTTGTGTCTCTTTGTTGTTGGTTTTAGTGTCTGAGGAGGTTTTATCTTTGAGATCTTTATTCTGTCCTTTTGTTGTTGTGTCTGTGGTTATTGTATGTCTTTTTGTGGTCTGCATCTCTTTGTGGTGGTTTTTCATCACATTGGTGTTGTTGATGTGGTTCTAGTGCTGATCCACCAGATACTGGGCCTTCAGCATGACCTGTGGTTGTTGTGTGACTCATTGTGGTCGGTTCTTTGAGGTGCTTTTGTGTGTTCTTGTGGTGGTTTTACTTGTTTTAGACATTTTGCACCACATTGTGGTTTTCTTTGTGGTCATTTTG